GCCGCCACCATTCTGTGCATTGCTGCTGTTGTCTGGTACCTCCAGTACCCAAGATATCTATGGTACTGTAGGTATCATGTAAAAAAGTAGTCACATCTTTTGGCATTGACTTAGTACAGAAGCATCGGTTCTTGTGACGTGTACAGATCAATGAATTAAAGGAAAAACTTGAAAATGTCACTGGATGATGTCAGTATGAAAATGATGCCTTTCACTGTCACCACATCTCAACACAACTAGACACCTACACATGCAAACCAATGTCACAGTCAACCCTCTCCACCACCGCCATCAGCAACAAAACTCCAAATGAGGGAATTTCTTCTGAACCAGCGGTGTTCCTTCCTCCAGTGGGGACACTTTGATAATCAATGCCAAGGATTACTGAAACTGTTACCGGCTTAAAGTGGCTCAAGTCTTTACTAAGACATCATGGCACCGTGCTCTCTCCAAGATATGGAGTTTCATGTACCGCATTGCATTTGTACACAAAGTTGCTTGAACAAAAAAAAACAAAAAAAAAAGCTCTTTAGATGTCAAAATGACAGAGTTTGCAGCTGTTTGGTCTTACCTTGGTGTGGAGCTTTGACAACTGCTTTTCATCCAGGTAGGTCTGAGTGTAGACGCGTCTTTTGTAGCGGAACTGCAACAAAAGAACAAGCTGTAAGAGGAAGGGCAGCTTTTACCTTCTCTTTTTTGTTTGTGTCATGACTACTTAACAAGGATACCGGACATAAAAAAGTAAATAATTAAAGCGTTAATTAAAGTCGTTCCAAATAAATTCGCCACACATCATCAGCTCCCAAGACCAAACTGTGCAAAAAAATAATTAATGTTTTTTATTAGTTTGTCCAATGAGTGAGAAAACACAAGAGAGGAGATACAGAGGCAGAGATTTTGAGTCATTTAATAACTTTTCAACGTCGTTAGGGGACCAAATGCCTCCCTGTATACGGCTGTCATCTCTCTCCAGCGCTCCTGCTTGTCATCTTTTCCACATATTACATTTTGCTTGAAAAGCCCACTTCCTTGAAGCTGGAGTATAAAATATAAATTGCGAAACAAAACTGAAAAAAAAAAAAAAAAAGAGGTTTCCAATTTCGACTAAATAAACGCGCAGGAAGAACACTGGGTTTGACAGATCACACAACAAGTGGATTCATTTATTAAAGAGATTGTGTGTTTTTTTTCCCCACAATTTCAGTAAAACTCTTCTTTTCCACTGGGAATATAAATTTATCATGTCAAAAAGTTAATGCAAGATAAACAAAACAGAAGCTGGTATACTCTGATGGACAGACGTTAATTGCATTTTACCGATTTCAAAAACACAGCATGGAAGGAAAAATTAAAAGTTAATGGACAGGAGGGTGCAGTTATTACCTCCTACTGGGGCTTTAATAAGGTTGATCTGACCAAAAGTCACAACTCAAATTAGGCAATAAAAAACTGTGACACTGTTAAGCTAAAAATTAGTCCCATCATTTAGGTTACTGTCATTTTTTATTTTATTTTTTTTTACTCGGGATGATCTCTTACTGAGTGAAATGACTCAGAAGTATCTCAGTGGTAGACGTGATAAGAGCGGGTCGAACTCAGTAAATGTTAAGGGAAGGTGCCTCAGTGCTTTATTTCTTATCTCCTTTAGTGAAGGAGACACTGGACCATTTTCACGAAAGAAAAGAAGATAATGCTGTCCCACGGTGCCTTCGGCGTCGCCATTTCAGGTACAATCAATTCAACATTTCAAGGTGTTGTGTTCGCGTTTAAGTTACTATATGTATAAACATGTACTCAAATCAGAATCCAGCATTAACCATAACACAAAGATATTTAGTTTATAATACAGCATGGTCACACCTTAAGCATGTTGTGCCCAGTAGTATCAGTACATGTTATTCCTATCTTGCAAAAATGTAACTACAGTCGTGACTNCTATCACAGGGCTACACTTAGAGACAGACAACCAAACATTCACACCTACGGACAATTTAGAATCACCAATTAACCTCAACATGTTTTTGGACTTGTGGGAGGAAGTCGGAGAACCCGGAGAGAACCCACGCTGCACGGGGAGAACATGCAAACTCCTGGCAGAAAGATCCCGGGTGTCCTCACCGGGACGCGAACTGGCGACGTTCTTGCTGCAAGACAACAGTGGTAACCACTGCTCCACCTTGCAGGCCCTCAATGCAACTAAACAACCACAAATAAAGTTGCATTTAACTTTGTATTTTACCTGTAGAGATGCTTTCATTAAAATTTCACAATGTGTATACTAGAATAGTGACAAAACCTAATGACATTGAAATTCCTGCATTCTTGATACAAGATCATCAATCAAGTGAATGTATTTCAATAAAATACACACAGTGTGCTAATACACACGCCGTTCTATTTTTACATACTGAACGGTAATGATGGAACAGTATCGGCGGCACACAGCCCAAGTTATGAGCACGACCCTAAACCAGGTATTACTGTGTGTGGAGCAGATGCAGCTGTTGCAATCCACCAACAAAACAAGGTAACTGGTCAGGATGTGAACATCCTGATTGTCCAAATCAAAGAAAGTATTTCCATATTAAATCTCGATGTTGTCTGTGAAGACTCTCAGTCATCCAGCTCATGGTTATTCTCATAGATTATTCGTAGCAACTGGACTTGCATGAGTTCCTTGAAGACGTTTCACCTCTCATCCAAGAGGCTTCATCAGATGGTTTGAGAGAGGGGTGAAAGAAGCCATCTATGTCCAACTGGAAAGACCATCCCTCAACAGAGGTGGAGGTCTGAGGCATCACCTCTCACCTGTTTACAACTCTGTCCTAAGATCTCTCCCCAGGAAGATGAAACCACCATTCATAGCCACAAAAGACCCTAACGAACCCCATTGTGGCAGGGGGAGCACTAACGACTCACATAACGAGGGGGAGGAGCAACAAACCAAAACTAAAACTACCAAAGCTCAGGTGTTAATGGATCCTTAAAGATATAAGTATCTGGAACTCCCAACTCGTCAGTCAGAACTGATGAAGCCTCTTGGATGAGAGGTTAAAACGTCTTCAAGGAATTAATCTATGATTAAACTACGAGAAAAATCTCTATGTTCCACAATCGCACTGCGGCTGCATTTGCCGCCACCATTCTGTGCATTGTTGCTGTTGTCTGGTACCTCCA